CACCTAGTTACATTTCAAGTTGAGTAATGTTCTTGGCGCATGGCACCGGAGCGATGGATCAACTTATACGGCTATCTCACCCTGGAAGAATGTGTTTGATTCTGCTAGCTGGGAACGTCTTACACGTACATTTATAGTTCTGAAGTTGCAGCTTGTGCTCCAAGAATTCCAAGTTGCTTTCGAACCCCAACTTGAAGAGGTTTCAAATTGGCGTAACGGTTGGAAGGAACTTATGCACGAGGAGCTTCATACATAGTTCACACTATTGAAATAAGCTTCAATGTGGTCTTGAAAGATGAGTACAAGAACATTGCAATGTTGATTTAATCTCCCTTAATCAATCTTGTTTATTGATATATGCAAACTTAGAAGATGATTTTATGCGGATATAAGAACAATAAAGTACACAAGCCACACACAAACACAAAGAATTTAGCCAGGTTCGGCGAACTTTGGCTACTTCTCATGTGATTTTTTTTGAGAAATCACCTGCACTGTGGAGAATAGCAACTCGGTTACAAGAACTTATTGAAAACTTATGCTAAACAACAAAACCACCTGCACTGTGGAGAATAATTCTGCCTCCTGAAGGTTCTACCAGCCTAAAGAACACTTGGATTAAAGTGGATTTCCCACTTCCTGTTCGACCAACAACGCCAATCTTCTCACCCCCGAAAATGTTTAGACTAATGCCTTTGAGAACCAAAGGTGTCTTTGGGCGATATCTGACCTGCTCACCACAAAGTTTAAAATATCATCAAAAGGAACCGAGCCCTTTCAGCTTGAGACAAAGCAATGGTGATGACCAACTAAGTTATAAACAGAACTGAAGACAAACTGACCTGCAAGTCTTTGAGCTCAACGTTGCCTCGGGAAGGCCAATTTGGAGGAGGAACACGGTCTACAATCTTCCACGCTGCTTCTGATGGAATGTTTGTAAACTGTTTTATCCTCTCAACCGACACCATCCTATTTTCAACGAAGCAGCTAAAATATATAGCCCAGGACAGCACACTATTAAGGGACAATCCGTAGGAGAGAGTTAAACCAACATTCTCTGCACCATAAAGGAAAACCAGTTTAGTGAAATCTCTGCAATAGATACTCGTCTACTGTCGCTCGTTATGTTAGATATATCAAAACACGGTGCTAACATGCACCTCAAATCTTGCTTATAACCGAGACTCAATCAGACGTTGTAATAATAATGCACTAAAACAAGAAGGATCGGGAGGGTTTAAATACCTGGCTTTATAATACTGCTTGGCAACAAGATCATGAATATAGTGGAAATGCAGAGAAGTAAACTCCCAAGTAACTCCAATCGGAAACCCAACCACTCATTGGAACCATTGTTGTGGAAATCCATACGCAAGTTGGCATTAACTCGTTTAACATTTTCCTTGGAGAACATGTTTTGCATTCTGAAAGAGCGAATCATCATGACCCCAGATATGCTCTCTGAGAAATGATGGATTACAGGAGCTTTCGTGATTGAATCGAGTCGAGTTAACTCTCGAGATGATGCAAGATAGTAACCCTAAAAAAAAAATAAGTACAAAAATCTTCAGCATTGAGTGCAACATTATAGTTACAGGTTACTGATAAATATTAACACCGTGACAAAATGAACGAACATACCCGGTACCAGACATTAAGCCAAGCAAGCGGAATCAGCAAGAACACAGTGGGCCACGAATATTGGCAAACGATGATAAAGATGCCGAGCACAGTAAAGAACATGACAATGGTAATACCCAACATGAAGGGAAGAAGTAGATCGATATTCGTCTGATCAGTTGATGCCTGGTGGACAGAAAAATTCTCAGCAGTTAATAAATAGGACTATATATACATGAAATTAGAGTAAACAGATAACAGTCTTAACAGATATCTCATCAAGTATGACAAAAACGTACCCTACTCAGAATTCTTCCGGAAGGTGTAGTATCGAAAAACGACATAGGAGCATGCAGGATGCTGTGAAGAATTTGCTTGAAAAATGTTTGAGCTGTTTTAAGCCCCACAAACATCACAGCAAGTGCTCTTATCAATACCGCAACGAATGCGACACATGCAATGAGTGCATAGACGATAATAAACACAGATGGTTTGAATGATGCCGCACGCTTTGCTGCAGTTTCATAAGACAGCCAGTAATCAGCCGCCATTTGAGACGATTGCCACATCAGAGTCAATGACAATACTAACACCACACCCCACCATCCGTAAGCCTCTGTGCAATAAACTTTGTAAATGTGAAGGCTGACTTTGCCGGTTTCTTTCTCCTCTTCTTTGATGAGCTTAGAAGTCGCTTTATCAGACTTCAGCTGGTCCAAAGAGTTGTTTTCACCATTTCCTTCCCCGCATTTTGAGGAGAGTTGCCGAGATATTTGAGGTCCAGGGGAACTTTTGCTGGGATCAGCGGTGCTCATTTCTACAAGTTCCATGGAGGTATCGTGGGCAGCAACAAACTCTTTGAAATCCAGGCCAGAATTTAGCAAATCGTTATACTTTCCTGCCTGTACTATCATCCCACCTCTCATTACCTGATAAATATAAGTAGGGAGGGATACATGAGCAAATTGAATTTATAATTTCTTCGAGAATACATGAACAATTCTAAATACTTACCAAAATAAGATCAACATTATGCAAGAAGTCAACTTGATGAGTTACAAGTAAAACTGTCTTGTTTTTAAGCGCTCCCCTCACACATTCCTGCAGAAGGCCATAGACATTACAAGCATGAGCGACATTTTAGATTACGAAGATCTAAACAAGAACGTTGTTTTTCCATTTTTCTTTCAACACCTTTAGATTACAAAGATCAAATCCGCCATCTAAGCACTAATTTAAGTGTGAGCTAGACTATTCAATCACTGTGAAATCAAAAGTAAATCATTCTTTACTACCAAATGTAGAACAAAATATAAAGTAATGTCACCTTAAATATTTCTGACCCAGTATGAGCATCAACAGCACTGAAGACGTTATCGAGGAGATATATGTCACAATTTTGATACACAGCACGAGCAAGTTGAATCCTCTGTTTCTGGCCACAACTTAGGTTGATGCCATGCTCTCCTATCTCAGTTTGATCTCCGAACTCCATCATTTCCATGTCCTTTTCCAAGAAACAAACCCTGATTACTTCCCGGTATCTCTCTCTGTCCATTGGCAAACCAAATAGGATGTTTTCTTCAATGGTTCCGTTTTGAATCCATGACGTTTGAGCCACATAAGCAGTTGTCCCGCAAACTCGTACCTGTTTTCAAAGATTTTGTTAATTTAACAAAGTGATTGAATTGAAGCTTCAATGGAGCGATTTTACATCATAAGAGACATCTAGAAAATGGTTTAATGGTATCAGATTATACCTTTCCGGATAACTTGTGCATCTCACCAAGAATTGAAGCTAGAAGGGAAGACTTTCCGGATCCCACTGTCCCTACAATCGCCGTTAGCTCACCTTTATTAAATTTATATTTATATTTTTCAAATCCTCTTCATTGCTTTCATAGTCCCAGCTGAACGCGCCATCTTTAACTTCAACAGCAATCCCACTATCACCGCCTTCTACCCTCTCCACCGAATCCTCCAACAATTCCCTACTCTTCATAAAACGATCCAGCCTCCCAAGTGATATCATAGCTTGAGAAATTGATATCATAGATTGCGGGAATGTCCTGATTGGCTCCTGAAGAATTTTGAAGATGGATGTGGTTGTGAACACTGTCCCAGCATCAAGTCGTACAACCAACAAAAGTGCAGTCCCGAACGTGAGAGTTGATATAAGTACTGGGGTGCACCACATAATCACGATATTGGCAGAGACTGAGTAAAAGAACTTGGTCAGCCAGCTAAACTCTGACTCCCAGAAAGCTTGGTCCAGGATTAACCATAAAAGATCAAATCTCGACAAAAAGGCCAGTTGAAGATTAATGTTTTCAGCAGGAGTTCTACGCAGGTCATTTCTCCCCCTTCAAGAAAAAAAAAATTATATATATATAGCAACCATAGTAAGAGTTTGCATAGATTTTACACGAAGAAAGTTAGCTTCCACCAGTAGAAAAGGTACCACATAACTAGAGCAATATGATTTAGAAGAGAAGCAACAAAGAGTAATGCCCAAATGAACCAGATTAAAAAGAACTAGAAAATATGTACCATGCTGGATTAGCTGCAGCAAGAACAGGAGTTCGTGCATTCAAAGACGTAGTGATCCCAGCATTGGCAATGCTGACAGTCTGCTGCTCCATAACTTCACGTATGGCTGTACAAGCTGCGTAAAATCATATTTTTATGAAACAATGAGCAATAGGAGAAGACAATGCCTCAGATGTCGCCAAAGAACCAAATGTCAATGTGGAGTACGACATTTCCTCGTCCCACCCCAAACACATCATCTAATTTTGCGTCCACCCAGAGAACGAACAGAGAGCTAGGAAAATAATGGCTGCTAACCCCCCAGGATTGTGGATTGGCTTTCCCATGTCAACATCATCGCCGCCAGTGCAGATCTCGTCTGGAAATTCGGTCGAGCACTATTTAAGGCTAAGGAGAGTGGTCTGAAAGAAGTTTTAAGGGTGAAACCTGTTGCTTCAGCCCGCAGACTCAGAAGCACCTTGCTTCCCCAATCCGGTGAGAACACAACTCGTATTAAGTACCTAGAATTGGTCGCAAACCATTTCGCGAAACATGGACTCCTAAAGGGGTCTCCTCCTCTCCGTCCTCTAGTACCATCGAAGGAGGAGGCAAACGGCGGAGGCAAAAGGAACGGGAAAGGGAACGGAAACGGCAACGGGAAAGGGAACGGGAACGGGAACGGGAAAGGGAAAGGGAACAGGAAAGGTAAAGGCAACGGCAACGAGAAAGGGAACGGGAAAGGAGGGCAACGACAATGGCAACGGGAACGGAGGACCACCCGCACTCTTTGAGAATGGTACCCTGCCGGAACCGTTTGAGTACCCATTTTAAAAGGGAAAATTGAAGGACTCTCAAATGTGAATTGCATGAGCAAAAAAAAGTCCTCCTTTCCCGTTCCCTTTCTCGTTGCCGTTCCCGTTGCCGTTGCCTTTCCCTTTCCTGTTCCCTTTCTCGTTGTCGTTCCCGTTCCTGTTCCCTTTCCCGTTGTCATTTCCGTTCCCTTTCCCGTTCCTTTTGCCTCCGCCGTTTGCCTCCTCCTTCGATGGTACTAGAGAACGGAGAGGAGGAGACCCCTTTATGAGTCCATGTTTCGCGAAATGGTTTGCGACCAATTCCAAGTACTTAATACGAGTTGTGTTCTCACCGGATTGGGGAACCAAGGAAGCAAGGTGCTTCTGAGTCTGCAGGCTGAAGCAACAGGTTTCACCCTTAAAACTTCTTTCAAACCACTCTCCTTAGCCTCAAATAGTGCTCGACCGAATTTCCAGACGAGATCTGCATTGGCGGCGATGATGTTGACATGGGAAAGCCAATCCACAATCCTGGGGGGTTAGCAGCCATTATTTTCCTAGCTCTCTGTTAGTTCTCTGGGTGGACGCAAAATCAGATGATGTGTTTGGGGTGGGACGAGGAAATATCGTACTCCACCTTGACATTTGGTTCTTCGACCACAGCTGAGGCATCGCCTGCTCTGGCTCCCGTCAACTTCTTGAAAAGTTGTCTAATGCTGCCCGCGAACCGAAATGCCCTCATTTTTGGATTAAGATTCTCTCCCCTCCTCTCATATTCTCTATTTTGTCTTTCACTTTTTAAAAACATTAATATAAGATGTTGACATGACTTAACTGTGACCGTTCAAATATGAGGGGAGGGAAAAAAAAGAGGGGAGAGAATTCTACTCCCTCATTTTTTATTTCTGCATAGGGTAGCTGGGAGAGGAGGGAGTGATGTGACGTTTGGAATGGACTGAAAAATATATTTTAAAGTAGAGTGGTGTTATCCACAAACTTATTGTTAATTTTTACCCTTAGATTTTCTTCAAGTCGTTTGATCTGACAGTTGAAATTGAAGAGGTGTGTGAAAACCAAAAAATATATTTAAGAGTAGGGTGGTAATATCCACACTCATTGTTAATTTCTGTCCTTAGATCTTCTTTAAGTAATTTGATCCGACTACTGAAATTGAAGAGGTGTGAAAACTAAAAAAGATATTTTAGAGTACGGTGGTGTTACTCACACTCATTGAGGTGTGTGAAAATTAAAAAAAGATATTTTAGAGTAGGGTGTTGCTATCCACACTCATTGTTAATTTCTGTCCTTAGATCTTCTTGAAATCATTTGATCCGACGACTAAAATTGAGGAGGTGTGAAAACTAAAAAAGATATGTTAGAGTAGGGTGGTGCTATCCACACACTTATTGTTAATTTCTGTCCTTAGATCTTTTTTCAGTCATTTGATCCAACTGATTGAAGAGGAGTGAAAACTAAAAATATATTTTAGAGTAGGGTGGTACTATCCACACTCATTGAGGAGGTGTGTGAAAACTAAAAATAGATATTTTAGAGTAGAGTGGTGCTATTCACACTCATTGTTAATTTTCAAGTCATTTAATTTGACGGCTAAAATTGAGGTGTTTGAAAACTAAAAAAGATATGTTAAGAGTCGGGGTGGTGCTGTCCACACACTCATTGTTAACACTCATTGTTAATTTCTGTCCTTAGATCTTCTTCAAGTCATTTGATCTGATGGCTGAAATTGAGGACCCCAAAGACTAGTCCAATAGGTGGGAGGACCCCAAGGATTTAAGAACCCCTACACTCCCATAAGTGTAGTCAATGTGGGATCATAACATTACACCACCCTTTGGAAGACCCGACGCCCACAGTGGTAATCACGTCGCCCAATCCCTCGTCTCCAAGTCCCTTGGAGCCCATACTCCCAAGGCGGTAATCACGAGGCGGCACGTCACGTAACCAAGACCCGCAGCGTCGGGCACCTAGGCTCTGATACCAATGTTAGGTACTCAAGCCCAAGGGAAGAGCCCAACCCAAAAGACTAGTCCAATAGAAAAATAATAGTGCCTTCAGACTTTTTGAAAACATTCAATAGTGCCTTCAGACTTAAATTCACCAATTTCATAACCTTCTCCATCAATACCTTCACCTTCTCCGTCCCCTCCTCCTTCATCACCTACTTCATCAACTCTCAATATCACCAAAATTCTAAATGACCATCCACACTTCATAATAATTTTTTTATTTGGCCTAAAATAGGAAAAAACCCAAAACAGAAGATGAACAGAACTTTAGACATGAATATTTCAAAATATGTATTTGAGGTCTACTACACATCATGAGAGGACTAAATTTAAGATCAATAGGATAAAAAGACATGCATTTTGATATTTTCATGCATATACTTCTTGTACTCAATGCATTTCCAGAGGAGAAGAGAAGGATACCATCTCTTTATCTATTCTCTTCCAAAATAGCATATCTCTGGCTAGTTTCCTTGTACGAATTGTAGCCCCCTCATCAATTTAAGAGATCTACTGACCTTCAATTTCACCTACAAAGAATAAAAGAGTCGATAGTTCAGTATAAACATTACAAACACCATCTGATGAAACCTAAACCCTACAAACGCCAGAAAAGGGTACAAATTTTAGAGAGACAACGCTGTCGAAATCTTACAGGAACAATCCTAGGTGGAGTAAATCTTTCAAAACCAACCTCATCCCTCCCTCACTCTCTCTGCAATTCCCAACCAACCCCATCCCTCCCTCACTCTATCTCTGCAATTCCCACTCTCCCATACCCCCGTATTCAGCATACTCAACCCATAATTCTATATCTGCATTCCCACTCCCCCATGCCCCCAAATTCAGCATTTTTTTTTCATCTAAATTATCATGAAAAAGTGTAATTAATAATCTTAACAACGTGCTCAAAATCAATCCCAAATTATCCAAAATGGCATACACTTCAAAACAAAAATTTAATTCTGCTACAGGACCTAATGGACGGCAGAAAATGGTAGGGGGAGACGGGTTAGGAGTCCATCATTTTGTAAGTGGTATGCCAACTCCTTAAATTAATAAGATTAGTTTAGGACTTTGTGAGCATTGGTGCTGCACATTGATAACAAAACAATTTAGAAGTTGAGAAACCTTACCCACTCATCTATTGTATTAAACCTTAAAGATACCTTTTGGACGAAGTCTTACAAAGAAAAAGCTTTGGCAACAGATGGAGGAAATGGATGCAGGGATGCTTAAGTTCCGCAAATTTTTCTGTTTTGATTAACGGGAGGCCTAGGGGAAAATTTCAAGCTTCAAGAGGTTTGAGACAAGGTGATCCACTGTCACCTTTTCTTTTTACCTTAGTAGTCGATGTTTTGAGTAGGTTAATGGAGAAGGCTCAAGAAAATCATCTCATCAAAGGGTTATGTATTGGGCAAGAAAAGGTGGAGATTTCTCATCTTCAATTTGCAGATGATACCATTTTTTTCTTGGCGGAAGATGAGGGAGGTTGGAACAATCTATTAGAGCTGCTCAAATTATTCTGTTCTGTTTCAGGGTTGAAAATCAACAAAGCTAAGTGTTATTTGGCTGGAATAAATTCAGATTGTGAGAAATTAAATAGGTTGGCGGATTCTTGGGGTTGTGAGGTAGGTAGCTGGCCTATAAAGTATTTGGACTCCCTCTGGGGTAGGCCAAGAGCACTCAAGTTTTGGGATCCAGTGGTAGATAAGATGGAAAAAAGACTTCAAAGTTGGAAGAAGGCCTTCTTATCCAGAGGAGGTAGATTAACTCTGATTCAATCTGTTTTGGGAAGCTTGCCGACCTACTACATGTCTCTGTTCAAAATGCCTTGCGGGGTGATTGGACGCCTAGAAAAACTAATGAAAGGATTTTTGTGGGAAGGTGTGGAGGAAGGAAAGAAAAAACAACCTGGTAAAATGGGAGATAGTTATTAAAAGTAAAGAGGAAGGAGGTTTAGGGGTGGGGAATTTGAGGAATCGGAAATGAAGCATTACTTGCTAAGTGGTTGTGGAGATTCCCAAAGGAACCTCATTCTCTCTGGCACAAAGTGATAAGAAGCAAATATGGGCTACAGGATAACGGATGGAACGCATTTCCTTCGATAAGGGGTTCAAGCCGTAGCCCATGGAAAGATATATCGATTGGTTCCCAATTGTTTCTTCACTGCTGTAAGTTCGAGGTGGGCAACGGGGAGAGGGTGAGGTTTTGGGAGGATGGGTGGTTAGATGGAGGACCATTGAAAGAGCAATTTCCTAGATTATTCTTGCTATCGAGGAAGCACAATCAGAACATTTCAAGCTTTGTAGATCTTTCTACCAATTCTTTAAGTTGGAATTTTGATTTCAGGAGAAATTTGAATGAGGCGGAGATAGAAGAGGCGGCTAGATTATTACAGAAAGTGGAAGAGGTCCGATTGTCTCAATCAAGAATGGATAACAGAAGGTGGAAAATGGAAGCATCAGGATTGTTCACATGCAAATCCTATTGTTCCTTCTTGAGTAACAATGGGATGATGCAATACTTCCAACCCCATTCACAGATTTGGAAGTCCAAAGTTCCTCCGAAGGTTAAGATTCTTGTATGGCTGGCGGCCAAAGGGAAGCTCAACACTTGTGACCAAATTCAAAGGAGAAGCCCTTTTATTTGCTTATCCCCACAATGGTGCAGTTTGTGCAAAGCAAAGGAGGAGAGTGTAAACCACATTTTTCTCCATTGCTCTTACACGATTCAGCTGTGTGGTGGAAACTGTTTCAGGAGGTTAGAGCTAGTTGGGTCATTCCAAAGGGTTGTTTCGAGCTTCTAAGCACCAAGTTTCAGGCCCTAGGAAGTGGGAGGAAAGCTAAAGCTTTGTGGGGTTGTCTGGTCTCGGCAGTTTTTTGGAACATTTGGCTGGAGCGTAACAAAAGAATTTTTGAGGATTATACAGGTGTGGGGGTAGAAGTACTTTGGGGAAGAGTAAAATATTGGGCAGCTCTTTGGGCTTCAGTCTCAAATGTTTTTAATAACTACTCTATTTCTCAATTACTGTGGGATTTGTTAGCAGCAGTAAAGTGAGTTAGGTCTAGCTAATGATGCTGTAGCCAAATCCTAGTGAGAGTTTTTTCTTGTTTCTTGTTAATGGTGGATTTCTTATCCACTCCAGTGTATTTCTCTTTTCTTCTATAAAATGTTTTGTTTCTTCTCAAAAAAAAAAAAAAAAAAAAAAAAGGTCGTACCCAGTGCACAGGCTCCCGCTTTACGCAGGGTCTGGGAGAGGTGAATGTCGGCTAGCCTTACCCCGATTTATGGAGAGGCTGCTCCCAAGTCTCGAACCCGAGACCTACCGCTCATGGGCGAAGGCACTTGCCATATAAACATAAATTAAATATAACTAAAAAAATACAGATAAAACAAACAATAATCAGCAAACAAAAACCCTAAACATTCAGATTTTTCAGATTCAGATGAAACCCAATTTCCACGCAATAAATTCAATGTCCCATCAAAGAAAATCAAATGAACAAAAGAATTACTTACAGAAATTTTGAAAGCTTTATCATGTGCTTGATGGATCAAGTGGAAATCTGTTGGACCTTTTCCCCAATTAGATAGAATTTGACGTTGGCTGCAGCAAACTGAAAAACACATTGTCACCAAGCATAAAAGCCGTTTTTCAGATGAAATGAGGGCATATATAAATATCACTCGGATTCAACAAACTGCATACTAA